ATGTACAACAGTTAAAAAAGTATATTTTCATATAATTTTTGCAGATATTTGCATGATGCTGATTTTTTGTAAAAATTTATATTGAGTTAATCAAAAATATTTTCTCTTTAACTAGCCTTCTAAAATATTTACGTTGTTAATTGTTTAATACATTTTGGGTGAATAGATCTTTTAAAATTCGTATGAACCATATGTCTATTTGCCAACGCTGAATACAATTTATTGCTATCGTAAAATTCTGGATAATTACTATTTGTTAATAGAAAATTCAATTTATTTAAATAATCTAAAATGGTACACAGGTCTCTTTTACAGAAGAATTGAAAATAAATATTAAGTAATTAGACACATTAATTGAAGATTTTTATAACAGAGAATTAAAACGAATCAAAATAATTATTATTATGTAACATCTTCGGGTTGATCGAGACTATCTTAAGGCATACTGATAAGCTCAAATAAGATCGAAAAATCAGTATGTAAGTGGTTTATAGGGAGAAATTTCGTTGTCTATTTTTGGGAAATTCATAATCCAGAACATTTCCTTTTGTTTTACGGATGTCAGGGTGAAATGGGTTCTTTACAGATTGTAGATTGGATAAAATGACCATAGCTAAGAGGAAATTTATTTCGGGCCTTGCCGTATGCATACGTATACCTTCCTTAACGTTTACTGGCAAAATACCATTAATCTCAGGGTAGTCGTTAATAAATTCAAGCGTAAACGTTCTTTTAGAAGACCAGAAAGGCCCTTTGTTGGCCCTTACGGTCAAGTATTTGTATATTAAACCGATCAATCATCTACAAGAATGGACTACAATAGAATGGGTCCTACCGTACGTAGATTATACACATACATAAGACTACTGAATATTTACGGGATAAAACGCAAACTTTGTCCAACGAGCTTAGCTTTTCTTATACATACAAAACATCCATATTACACCCCGACTTATCACCATATTGCATCCACGAAACCAGCGATACCTCAAGAAAATATAATCTTAATTTGTTACTGAAGGAGCAGGAATCACAAAAATAAAATTAAATAAAAAATTTCCGATTTACATTCTCGTTATTTAGTTTATTTTATCAAAATAAGTAAAGCGGGTTCATCAGCACACTGTTTTCCAAAGTAAGAAATAGAATGCTTTTACTTTTTAATTTTGAGAAACTAACGAAAGAAAGTCTGTTTTCTTAACACTACCTGGAACAATAATAATTAGTCAAGGTGCATCCTTGTAAAACGTATTCTCTGAAAACAGTAAGTAAAATCCATGGTATAGAGAACCAAATGGAAAGTAACAAGACACTTTTTTCTGCCTCCAACATCAAGTTTTTTTATAAATACCAGGATATATAAAAAATACTCCTGTGACATTTAAAAATCCAACTAACAGACAATATAGACTTAACAGAGTTCGCCTTCTCACCTCTGATAAATATCAAACGATTTAAAATAGGTATTTACAAAATACAGGAATGTTGGTTTGAGTTTTTACTTGTATCACTTCATCCCTGTTCACATGTCCTGAAACGTCTTCTATAATTTTAAGCGTGAAATTTTTGAAACATCAGTATTAGGTTGATATCATCATCATAAAGTTGTCAGTCCTAAGACTGGTTGGACACGCACCTCCACTCTTTCCTATCCTGAGCTAATCATCGCATTTCCCTAAAACTAGAACATCCCACATCCTTAACTATTTGCGAACAATAATCTAATTAGCTTGATATTGTTCTATTATATTTATGATGAGGATACCGTAGATAGAGAAGGTTAGAAATAAAGTGGTATTAGAAAGAATAGGAGAACAGAGGACTCTATGGCAGTCAATTAAAAATAAGCGAGATAAGTTGGTAGACACCTTCTCAGGCATAAAGGAGTGGAGGTACGTGTCCAACCAGTCTTAAGAAGACCTTATGATGATGATAATGATTAATATAAAATTAGATTTATATGATTCTATTCTTACTGATTTTCTACTGTTAATAAATAAAACGATAAAAGGCATAATAAAATGTTAAATAAATACAAGAATAGGTATGACTTGTATAAAACCCATCAGTCATCAAAGTTCAATATGGAGGAAAATGGTCCATTCGATCAACTTAAATAAAACCGTCTATTTATATTAAAAAACATTTTGATATTCAAAATTCAATATACAGGAGCATGGCCCTTTCAAATAACTTACTTAAAACCGTCTATTTACGTTAAAAACATTTTTCTATCATTAATCATTTAATTTACTAGACGATTTTCCGCCATATTTAGTTTCACAGATAGGAATGACTAAGCACGCTTCATATCGTTAAAGAAATAGCTCACCTACCTGCACAAAAGCTTTAATCAGCAAAGTCTCACTAGCACTTAGTTTTTTGTCTTATGAGTTCACACATCACATTACCACTTCGATACGATCAAAACCCGATACTTAATTAGTTATTGTTAATCAAATAATCCCATCATTATTTCACAAAACGTGTTAACACAACCGACACCGCTATCACTCACGCCTACAATAAAGGGCTAAAGAATCAACTGCAGCTTTCAAACAAGTGATCCTCCTAGTCACCTTTAAGAAATCTGTACAATTCGCCGAATTTATTGTTTACTGTGGTGATTTTATGACAGCAGTAAAATCAGCTAGATGACGTTGTTGAAAAAGTGTCAGTATAGTTTGCCGGGTTTATTTTCAAACGGAAATAAATTTGCACAAGAACCTAATCTAATTATTCNAAAACGATAAAAGGCATAATAAAATGTTAAATAAATACAAGAATAGGTATGACTTGTATAAAACCCATCAGTCATATTGATATATATTGATAACAACAATAACTATTATTATTAGATTGGAAGCGATTTTTAGTGTAAATTCATATTTTATTCAAAAGTCCTTTGGTAAAGTAAATTGTCATTTTCTCACGCTCTAGTCGAATTAACATTTTTCTAAAGTATCCAATTAAAAAAATGCCATGCACCCAGAAAAATTGCTTTTGTTTTTGTGACGATCATTCTACACCAAGTTTATGTTACGTATGTGTATACTAGAGGGGTGCAGGAGCAAGAACACCTCAGTTCTCCCTCTTCTAGAAGTACATATTTTGTGAAGACGAAAACTAGTTAAGTACCTTTCTTTTTTTTTTATTATTTCCTGGATGTGTTTATCTGTCTTGACGTTAAAAAAGACGATCTTAACGTACATTTCCAGTAAGTGTCATTTATGGAAGCATATGAAATGTAGACAGCTATAAAGACTACATCAGCCTCTCCAGACTGCGTTCTTGAAAATGTCCATGTAATGAAATTAATGTAGTGTGCGGGTTTCTTTTGTACACGCGCACCGATGTCTTCTGTTCCCGGAACCGCCAGTCATTCGTTATGTTCACGATATTCTCCTTGAATTCCTAGATTTTTGGTGACAGTAACTACCATTTAATTAGAGACCACTAACAGCACCATACATCACTACAAAATTAGACTAAAACTCAGTACTTTTGTATACCGTGAGCAATCCGCTGACAACCGACGATATTAATTAAAACTTACAAGATGTACAACAGTTAATCGTTTTATATCACCTTCTTACTTTACTGAAAGTCTCAACTTGAAGTTTCAGTAAAATACTTGAAAATTAGCAGCTCCGGTTTTCCATTAATATTGCGAATGGTCAATACAAATTATTTTTTTTTTTTCGATTTTTATTTCGTTGCTTCTACTATTCAAGGCCCGCCTAGACTACCGTAAGGTATTGTTAAAAATTGATATTTCTTTGAAATATTCCAATCATCAACAAGAGCGTCGTCCTCAATTTTTCGTGTTGTAATTTTATCATTGATGGCTGGTTAGTTAGTTATCAGTGCACTGAATTCCAAGTGGCTTATAAATTCTGATAACCTATTGCCCTCTGAATATATCTTGTCTCAAAAGATTTCATTCTTAAAGCGCAACTCTGTTGGTTTTTTTAATATACATCACTCATCATCGAAAATCCCCGTTTCAACATTTAGTTACTCGTAATTTATAAGACATCAAGCCTTTTGCCAAACTTTGTCAAGATAAAGATTATATCCGTCCTGTTTATCAAACACCCCATGAGATAATTAGAGACCCTGCGTGAAGCACATATATAAAACCAACTCAGGATAATAAAGAACTTTAAAGCCTTTTTTTTAATATTCTTCTATGTAGATATACATTGGCGAAGCAACATTAATCGGTTTCTTCTGAAATTTCTGACCATTTTAAGCAATACGTAACAAAAACCATGAACAGAATTAGGTTTCCTTAAAAATCAACGATAAATCTATCAAAGTAGGTTAGAAATTAGGAGATAGGTATTAGAAAAACTAGTAGTGAGGGTAGTATGAAAGTCGATAAGACATACATTAATGTGAAAATTCATTTTCAATTTTTTACCTACTATAAACTACCTCAGGATAATGAGGGAAAATTAGTTGCTTTTGTCAAACCTTAACCGGGAATCAAATTAGGAAGACAATACATGTTAGTACGACATCTTCTAAAACATAAAAGGCTAGTTAGAGACGTACGTAGATATTAAAAGCAGAAACAGTAGTTAAAAGTAGCAGAGGGTGGACCTAGATCAGATTACTCTTCGCAGATAGAAATGTATGTAGGTTGATCTATGTTTAGAGAAATGCGATGATTAGAATCACACCCCGAAACTAATTTCGATGCACCAATTAAATGTAAATTGTAAGAAATATTCAATCGTAAACTGGAATAAGAAATCACAAATTCGTTAGCTGCCAAGCGTGGAACAATAAAGGCGTTCAAAGGACAAGAAAATGATTACCGCTGAAGATAATATTTCATAGTGGAAGACGAACGCGTGAAAAGAGACGTTGCGATACGAAAAGGTTCCCACGAAGTGAAAAAGGATCCCTTTTCATTTAAATAAATCCCTTAAAACTGCCCTCCGTTCATTTACATAATGTTTACTGGACACTGGCCATCTGAACAGTCCCACCTAAAAACCCTTGCAAGGTGTTATTGCGATGTGTACCTACCCCTCGGACAAGTCCTGATTCTACCTGTTATGCGTATGCCTATCCGTGCATACGAAGAGGGAGCTCCTGGACATACTTTGCAATAACTCATGCATTTTCATTTCGGTGAGAAATACCCATTTCCAGCGGTTAATTTTGTACGTAAATTCTGGTACCGGTTTGACCGGCTGCTTCACCACAACGTACGTTCAACATGATCCTGCAACTTTACCGATGCAAATTCTATTACGTCATCGCTACACACGATACTATCCTCAACTACGTACGAATGATTAATTAAGGAAAAAAAAAGAAATTACTCACTCCAAACGAACCAATTCTTGGCGTTCTGCTTCTGCCTGACCCGAACCTCAACTGCAACTTCTTTACTTATTTCTTGGCAGGATTCCTTACTTTGTCGAAGAACTCTTAGATTTTAGATGACGGATGATAACAGAGAGAGAATGGGAATTAAATTGATCAAAGAAGTATTGGCTAGATGATGTTAGTTAGGTCGAATGACTGACAGGAATATTTGTTACAGTTATGTTATGCTGTCTGATCAACAACTAATAAATCTTAACAAAGCTTAATAAGTTACACGGCCAGACAAATTTGTTAACTTGTTAAAATATGGTATCTGTTGTAATTCAGCACTAGAGGTTGCTATGCCGAGTGTGGCTATCGTGGGAAATGACCTTTTCTGACCCTGACCTCGAAGCAAGACTAAGAAGCATGTGTCGAGAGATGGGGCTTAGCTAAACACCATGAAGAACAAAGAACAGCTCCGTTGTCATTTTACATGCGTTTTGCTCAACTGTTAGCATTCCGGACAAAATTTAAAGTCATATTCTGCGCCCCCCCTCCGCCTACCCCCCTTCTTCTTCTTCTTCTTACTTTATTGTACTTACAAGTGTATTCTATCATCGGCATCAACAGCCACTCCGAATCAACTTCTGAAACAAACATAAGAAAGTCAAATAAAACGTAACAGAAACAATTACACTATAAATTATGCAATTAAAGACATCGACGGCGGTGGGCGATTTTAACACAAAAGGGAAATAACAATTTATTTTCTAGTTTGCTTTGCTTTAATGCAACTTCCTTAAAAAAATAAAACACAAATTAAATTGGTCATTATTTTATATGCACTTTCCTTGACTATTTCCCAGACCAAGTTTACGTATTTCATTGACTTATTAATTCTCCAGCGTCATCGCCACGCAGTTTTCCTTGTTTTCATTGAAATGAATACTTAATAGACTTTCTTGAAAGTAAGTACAAAATATGAATTCCTTAGATACTTTCTCACCAGTCATTCTAAATCCAATTTTGGCTAATCCTGTGGAGAAAAAACATTCTATAAATTTTTGATTTCATGATCTTCTGGGAAGATCATTATTATTTCCTTTAATTAGGGCATCATTATCAGTGATTATAAAGTTTTTTCATCCTTCGTTACAAATACAAGCTTTCAGTGGAAAAATAAAGTTATTTTTTTGGTGCAATATCTGACATATTATTACAACAATCTTATCAACGAAACTTTGTCGTAAACATAAACATATATCACATCGTTATTATATTCATAAACCACATTGTAATAACATCGTTTTATAAATATTCAAAACGATTTGTAAATTTTCTTGTTAAGTTAATTCAGAAGATTTATATATTATAATCTTTTTTTTATGTAAACGGACAATAAATTAAGTAGAGAAAACAATTTTCGTGACATGTTAATTATTTCTTTGCGACTTTAAGAGTTAATGAACATATTTGTTGCAATTTTTAATAATGTTTACGTATTTTGTTTTCCGATTTCGTTATGTTATCGTTAATAAAACTATGTTTGTAATATGTTGTCTGCATAATAATCTAAATAATCCTTAAAATTAGTCTTATTTAATTAATCTGACCCCTTTGATGTCTCATCGGAAATTTATTATTTCTATTTTTTTTTTTGGATTCGTAATTTAAAATTTATTATTACTTTCAGACTTATTAGAATCAGATCAAGATTACATTACTGTTCACAAGCGTTTAAGGGTGTGGGATGTTCTAGTTTTAGGGAAATGCGAAGATTAGCTCAGGATAGGAAAGAGTGGAGGTGCATGTCCAACAACCCTCTGATGATGATGATGATTTCTTTTGTGTTACCTGATAGCGGGGTTGATTAATGGGAATTTAAAAAAGAGAAAAGTTCTATTTCATATACGAAGACGTAAAAGCTCAGCGGTAGTACAAATACTCGATAGATAGGAATGTTTTGATTTTGCGTTGTTGTGCCCGATTTCGTAAAATGTCAAAAAAAGGAAAGCGTAATATTGGAGTCAAAAAAGGTTATTTTTTTCAAGACATCGCCGTGCAAGATATTGTGTGACCCTCGATTTCTAATTCAGCATCACGTCGTGCTTTACTCTTGGCTCGCGCGAAGTGGCCTCTCCGAAGGTACAGGGTACCATTAATCAAGGCCTGAGATCATTTATATAAAACTTGACGTTTGAATTAACATTGATTGCTGCGATTGGTGTTCGACTTTTTACTTTTATGGTGTGTAGAAACTGAACTATGTAGTCATTTTTCATAAGTATGGATCTGGCAAGGATCATTCATTCTTAATACCTCAACATCGGTAAGACAAAGGCTTCTACGCCGTCAAAAATACATCAAAAACAAATGCGCCAAAGCTAAAAACTTCACTGATACTTAAAGACATCACAACAGAGACATCGCTTATTACATCTTGAGAAAAATTTCCGAAATAAATAAGAGTTGGTAAAGGCGTAAACCTGTAGGACACTTCCAGTTGAGCTAGGACCTTCGAATCTAAAGAAGATATGATACAAATTCAGGAAAAGTCCCTGGAAGTCAAGAATTCAATTAGTTATACACTTCTTATATAGCGTAACACCTTTTTCTTTAGTTCGTTCCAATAAAAATCTTATATACTTCAAGTGAATTTTCTTCGTTGTTTAGTTTCTTTTCGCGTTGACCATACAGCAATTAGGTACCATATTTTTTTTATCGAACAAAATGGATCTTAAATGACATCCACGTTTAACAGTACCTAACAACCGCAACAGTTCGATTTTACTTCGTAATAATAACAACTCAACTTTCGGTGTGGATAAATCAGATTTGACAATAAGATTAAAATCTTTGGAAAACCATTGTAACACTTAAACATAATTGAAATACTTTTAGGTCTGACACTTTCTTTTTTTTTTGATAGATACTTTCTTATTTAAAGTTTCTTAATTCTCTGACGGGTGTACCATCAAATTATATTGATACGACTTTTTTGTTTTAGCCGTCCAACGAGGGAGAGTGCCTCCATCCCAGCCAGCTCTACCAGGCATTCCAAATCAGTTCCTTACTGGTGGCGACTCAGTTGCCACAAGTCTCAGTAATCATTCATACCTCAGCAGTTATATATCTTTACTCCTTAGGGCAGAGCCTTATCCCACGAGTCGGTATGGCCAATGTATTCAAGCAAATAATATCATGGGCATTGATAATATTTGCGAACTTGCCGCGAGATTATTATTTTCTGCGGTAGAATGGGCTCGAAATATACCCTTCTTTCCCGATCTACAAGTTACCGATCAGGTAATCCCAGTTAATCATCTAACAGAAAGAGAGAATCGTATTCTTACACATTTTTTTTTCTCTTCTTTTTGTCCCTTCAGGTAGCCCTTTTACGGTTGGTATGGTCAGAACTGTTTGTACTAAATGCAAGTCAATGTTCAATGCCGCTTCATGTAGCACCACTAATAGCTGCAGCAGGTCTTCATGCGTCACCCATGTGTGCTGATAGGGTCGTGCAATTCATGGATCATATTAGGATATTCCAGGTAGGTTACAAACCAACAAAAACTACTTGCACTTTATATGCCTTTGAGGCAATTACTAATGACTAATGCGGACTGAAAAATAATTATTGCCGAAAACTATTGGTGTGATAACTTAATAACAATGACAATCGTGACGTTTCATAGAAGAAACTGAAGTCAACCCTAGGGGTGAAAACTTCTTATTGTCAGCGTATCAGTTTACAGTGTTAGAACTTCATCAGACTAGTATATGAGAGCCACAGCTAAAGTTTCTTGTAGCTTCTTGAAGCTTCAATATTGTAAAGCGAAACGTTAAATAATCACGTGAAGTAATAAAAAGTTTTTACCCCTTAAATTTACTTGACTATCTTCGATTCTAAGTACCATGTTCAAAATTGTTCCTTTTGTTTTTCAGGAACAAGTGGAAAAGCTTAAAGCCCTCCACGTGGATTCCGCCGAATATTCCTGCTTGAAAGCAATAGTCCTTTTTACTACTGGTAAGTGATAGTAACTAATATCTGTCCACTCAATTTTATTTCGTAAATGTTTATAATATTAATAACACTCTAAAGTAAAATAATTTAATTTTAAAATGATATTTAACGTTGCATGCTGACTCTGATGATGTAATTAATCTGAAGGTTATTACGCTTAGGATTCTCAGAATGATTAAAATTTTAAACGTCAAAAGAATTAAGATACCTAATCGAAACTTTTTTTAGAAACTTCTGTACTATTTAGTAACTTATTATTCACTGTATAGAATATTATTGGTTAACTTGTAATTAGGCTTTAAGACTTTAATGAACGTAAAGACAGCCTATATTGAACACAGATTGAAGAAATTTGCTACTCATTCGGAATTTTAGTAATGTTTCTAATAAGAATATCGACCCATGTTGTGATAAGCACGTAACCAAATGGAACATATTTTTGTTTCAAATTTTTTTTATTTTTTATGGCAAAAACTAATATATGTACAACAAATTAATGTATTCATATAAATTGACCATTAGAATAGAAAGGTTTGGAAGCTTTTTGTGTCCTTTAAGGTCTATTAGAAATAGATAGGAAAAATAAACGATTTTGATTTTGTTCTATTGAAACAGAAAGTCTTCTGTTCTTTTCGGGGAAAAGCTATTAAAGCATTGATCAAAGTCTCAATTTAAATTCGTAATTCAGAAGTTGAAATTTCTTGCTATTTTACCTACAATAACAACAATCGATAGAAATAAAAGAAATTATTTTAATTGTGTTGAGGAAAAGAAAGTTTCATAAATGACAAGATAAAAAGGAAGGCTCGGTTGGAACAAAGTGTTTAATTGCATGTCGAAGTTATAAAAAGCAATTAGTACAACAGATATAGAGATAGGGAAGAATAAATGATGTTTCACACGTGTTTTTGTGATGGTACGGTATTGCATTTTGTTGTTTAAAACGGTATATGTATAAAGAAGAAGATAGGCAATGGTTTTAATTGCAAGTAATTTACAGTAGATATCTGTGTACATAGTAAGTTGAGGAAGGAAGGTAGGTAGGATTGCTCTTCGTTGCCGTAAACTCTGGCGTATGTTAACCCGTCGTGGAGCAGGTTAAGTTTCAAGAGGTCGTGACTTGTTCGGTCACGAAGAGCAGTCGCCCGGGCACCTCTCCGCTAGGGCACGCCGATTGCAAGGCCTCGGGCTATGGCAGTGCCCGTAGTCCGTAGTGGTCTCCTTCATACCATGCCGCACAAACGCTAGAAATCACCGTTGTCATGATATAAATAACTATGTTTTAAATGACCTATCTTTAAAAAACGTTTGACCATCCTATACACCTATCAAAGTCATCGTTGTTGCCAACTTCTCTAAATTTCATCAATTCCAAAAACCATCATTCTTTTCCCAATATCGCATATCACCAGATTCAAGTAAGAACAACCTCCCAGGCATTGGAAAACTTTCGTATAGTTTAGATAAACTTCTAGAAATCTTTACGTTCTCATCAATTCTGTCTAAAGCTGTTGTTATCGACATCTGTCCAGAACCATCCTTCAGCAATTAAATGACCACGAACTGTCCAAGTAGTACCATGAATTTTTCTTCCACTGACTGACATCGTATTACTTGAAAATCGAAGGTTATTTCTAGTTTTCCGATAAAGTTTACGTAAACTTCTGGAGACCAATCAAATGACCACGAACATTACAAAATTATTATCTTAATATGCAGAATAGTACTATAGAATCATGAATTTTTCTCCGGCTGAGATTTGAAAATCCTAAAAATTTGTTTGGAAATCGACGATTATTTTTAGTTTTCCAATAAAGTTTATGTAAACTTTTAGAGACCAAGTAAATGACCAGGAATTTATAAAATTATATTCTTAATACTCAAGAAAAACGAATTGAGCAAGTAGTTTCTACTAGTACTACCATGTACCATAATGTTTTCTCCCACATAATACTAAAAGTCTTGCGATTTATATAAACCTCTAGAATCCTTATATTTTTTGTGTTGTTTTACTCTATTTTATAAACTTGGGAGATAAACTATTATATATTAAGCGTCCCATTTTGCTTTCTGCCAAAAACATTAAGCAACACTAGATTTTCTTATGATATTACACTGACAACATTGCATGTTCTTCTTCGATCTTTGTTCTTCCCCGACATTCTTTGAATTCCATGTCGAAAGTATTGCCTCGTGCACTTGAGAATTGAGAGAGAAGAGAGAGAGAGTCGCCGTTCTTTATTTTAACAATTTAATTCACTTTTATAATTGCAATTAGTATTATCTACAGTATTAAAGGTGTGGTGTTGAAAGGAAGTTTTTAATGAATTATTCACGTTTGTTTTAAAATAAAACAGAACCATTAAGTATTTTAAACTTCAGAATATTCGACTTGAAAATGATGACAAGTCAACCTTCTGAGGGGTTGTGGGGTTTTCCAATTCATGAGCTTTTTATGGGGTATGGGCCATTAAAGTTTGAATTAGAACGTACGATATCGTTGCCTTTTGACTTACATTAGTCCTGTAGCTCCTTAAAACATGAAGAAAACCATTAAGAACAAAACATTGCACAATTCAAGTACATAAGATTGGATGTGCAATCAGTAAAAGTCGAAATTTCTTCGGTGTAATGGTATTATATGTAGGAAGTCGCTGTCATTTGCAGCGTGAACGGCAAGTTGAATTAATAAAATGCTTTTTCGGTACAATATTACAAAAAAGCGTAGCGAAATAAATTCAGGAAGTAGAATAGGGTGTGAAAGTGTCTTGAGGAGCGCCTTGAAGTGACACCGACCTGTAGTTTGACCCAACGGTTTATCTCCGGCAGGACGCGGAAAGACAGAAATAATGGCTGATTGATTCAGAGTCGTTTTTTCGATTCTTTTAGCGAAGTGCAAATAAATCAGGATGAAATACTGCCGCGGTTTGTTTGAGGGTGCATAACAAAGTAGGCCCCTTATCACGATCTGATTTTGAGAGTAGCTCTTAGAAATATGGTCCCTCAAATTATAGATAAAGTTCACGAGTTTTAACTGAAATCGTTTCCTCCATCGATGATTTATTTCATGGGAAATTTAATGTGCAAATTATTTCACCGCCCTTCTTTCTACAGAAACTTCCGCGCAACATTTCCACCAAAAACTTATTATCGTTTCTATTGGTAATACTTAGTATGTCTAGGAATATAATCAAAAATCATCTTGTTGCTACTTTGAACATAAATTCACGAACATTTACCTTAAATTGTTTGACTATTGACATACAAATTAATGATTGTATACGTAGGTATATGAATGAAATAAAAAATTCGCCAATCAGCTATCCTGTCGTAAACAATTAGTCAATTTCATTGTAAAAGCAATTGATTTGTACAACTAAACAAATAATCTTCGCTTAATTAAAAATAAAAAACATGTTTAGTAATTAAATATTCGCTGAAGAACTTGTTTAAAGAGACGTTAAGTATGTCGCTAATATTGTTTATAAAGTAATCTTAACTTTACACATAGTTTCCCAAAGAAATTCAAATATTTTGATAAACAGAGGATATTGAATGTAATGGTGGATATTGGTTTATGGGCCACCTTGCATTCGAATTACAAATTTATAAGGAAAACATAAATTCTTCATTTGGAATATTTCTTGGCATCATAAGAAAAAATTAAACCTTAGCTTTCTGTAATAGTAAATATACATTAATTTGGTAATTTTATATTTTGAACTGAACTACAAATAAATAATGCAATAAGGAAAGGTCGGTCCAAATGTATTTGTTTAGCAAAATATACTAATTGGGGTTTTACCATGTATTAAGCAAGAAAACCCCTTATGGATTGTCGTAACTTCGAGCTACAGATTTTGTGTTATGGCCCTGTCCGAGGAGCGTGTGTCAGTTCGCTACTAGTGTTGAGTTAACAGTTCTTTGGTCTTGCAGCTTTAACTAAAGGCCCCCATAATGGTGGGGTTGGCTGTACGGTATCGGTATCGGCTTCGGCAGCAAAATGCCTGATAAACAATGAGCCCATTGTGAGCTCTCCATCACGTTTCGGCGCTACATAAGAACTCTCGACCTCTTCGGCTGAGTACCGTTGCTCAGCTGGTCATCGATTATCTGACCTGGTGCCTTCGATCGCATCGCAGCAAGCGTCGCCTTCTCGCCTTCTCGTAGGGCAGGGTGGCCATCGTCACCATAGTCGTACACCGTGCACTACACGTAACAAGTAACTGCTGGCCGCTAACAACGAAAAGGCGTAGCGGCCAGTTCACGTCGACCAACTAACTATTGTACGAAATCTTCCACCCACAATTTATGGCGATTCTTACATGAAACCCTCATGGAAATTACCTCCACTCGCTCCCAACTTTGATTATTTTCGCGAAAATATCTCCTCACAATCCGTAAAATACCAGCCCAACTGCAAAATTCTTTACTATCTAACATTATACTAACCACAGCGTAATATTCGACCACAATAGGAATTACATTAATTCATAATCTAATTGACCACAACCGAATCTACAAATTGACAAAAACGTATGAAAATAAAAAATATTTCATTTAACCACAATGTAAAGTTCAATTGCACATTTAATGAGTGTGTCGGCACAACATATGAAAGTGATAACCCACAATAGATAACAACTATAACCCTAAGTTTAACGAACGTATCTATACATGTAACACGACCGCAACGTACAAACTTTCTACCACAACGTACACAAGTGAGTTTATATATACCACAATGCCAGATCTAAAGGCTTGTTTCAACAATGGAAAAGAAATTTAAACCAAATTATTTATTCAATCACTTTATGAACTCGACATAACATACCTTGACAAGGACGCATGCAAGAATTACTTCATCGTTGCTTGACAACATTTATTTGTAAGGTATCTAACACAATTTTTTCATTTAACGACTTTCCGAACTGTAATTATACATTTCAAAAATGTGCAGCCTTAATAATTTCGTAAAATATTTCAGTCACAACGTAATATAA